GAATCCATGATTCTAAAAGGAGAAAAGAAAAATAATATGTCATAATCAAATATTTAAAATAATCAAATATTTAAAATAATAAAGTTGAAAAATCAGCATTATATTTAGTTTTATTATGAATATTTCATTATGAATTTATTTTATATATAATATAATGTATATATAAATTATACAAAATATAATGTAATATTATATAATTTTTTATAGTTTTTATTTTATTATATTTTTATTTTATTATTTTAAATATATATTTTTTTTATAATTTTTTATTTCTTTTTGAAATCATATTATTTTTTTTTTTTTTTGGAATCATATTAAATATTTATTTCTTAATACATTTACAGATATTTATAGATATATTTATTTTTAAAAAAATATAATGTAGATAGATTCTCTATTCTAATATTTTTAAAAATATTAGAATATTAGAAATATTAGAAAAATATTAGAAAACAATAATTTTTAAAAAAATAAGATATATTTATTATAATATTAAAAAAACGACTAAAGAATATAAAAAACTATAAATTTTTATATGAAAAATGCTGCTATTTTTGGCATTAATATAATAATTAATAAAAATTTAGACATAATGTATTTACAAAATTGAATTTCTTTACGAATTTTTTTTTATATTACAATTAATTTTTTATATTAAAAATCGAAAATATCGAAAAATATTCAAAATTGTCCTTCACATAATTATATAACTATTATAAAATATTGAATTTTGTCAATAGAGATGTTTAATTGTTTCCTATTTAATCGAAGATAAAATTGTTATTAATTCTTAAAGTTGTTATTATTACATATAAAATTTCAAAAATGTATAAAATTCAAAATTTAAACTTAATGCCTTTAAATTATATTTATACATACTAATTTAAAGTTTGAAATTTGCTGAATATAATTATAGAATTGTTTAATAATTATAAATGTTTTAATTATAAATGTTTAATAATTAAATGTTATAACGTTATAAATTTATCAATTTATAATACTTATATATTTATATCATAATAAATTTCTTATATTATTATTTTTAATAATAAAATACTTGTCAAATTATGCTATATAAAATATTTATTTCATGCTAATGGTCTGTAGTTATTTTTTTATCCATTTGCAATTACAATCAACTAAAAATGTAAAATAATATAATAAATAATATATTTAAAAAAATTATCTAATTCGAAAATTTTCATTTTATTGCAAATTTGTATATATAAACATAATAAGTTACGCAATAATTTTTTTTGACGGAAAATCTTTTTGAGCAGATGAAATTAACCAGCAAAGTTTCAATATTTTAAATATCATTTTGTTTGAAATTTTTTTTACAATAGAATAATAGAACATTTAATAGTATTATAAAATTTTTACATTTTAAAAATTTATTCTATTNTTTCTATTAATTATTAAAAAGTAAAAGTTCTCAAAAAAATTCTGAAAACAAATGAAAGCATTTAATTTAATTATATCAATATATCAGTGAAATGATAAAATTGATATATGATTTATTCAAAATATAAAAATCACTAATAAGTAATTGATTTAAATAAATTTTTTTTATTATTTTTTATTTTTTTTATTTTTTTAAATTTTTTATTATATTTTTTTATTTTTTTTTTATGATGAAAATGATTAAATTGTGATAAATAATAAGTTTGATTTGCAGAATAAGAATATATAGGATTAGATATCTCATTATCTCAAAAAAAAATTTAATTTTAAATTTTCATATTAAGATCAAAACAAGCTTTTTTAAGAGATCTTCACTGATTTGAAAATATTTAATTTATTTAGAATCGGTAAAATATTTTTTATTCTCTGTATTTCTAAATCAAATCCAATACAAAAAATTTGTGAGATATTATTATTATGCATAAAAAATAATGTTATATATACAAAATATTGGAATTATATATATAGTATACAAAATTTATAGCATAATATAATATATAATATTTCAAACCTAATATTATTTGATCAAAAAATTAAGATGATTCAGAATTTTCAACATTTTTCATAAAATTTGAATAAAGTTTTAAATTACAAATTTTATTAATTATTAATGTATTTTGCATATACATATTAATAATTTATATTTTATAATATATAATATTATTTTTTATTATCCTACTATATGATCAAGCAATTGTTTTGTGAATCTAATTGAGAATATTGAAATTCACATTTACATACAAATATTGTATACAAATCATCCGATAAGGATAAAACCAGGACTAATTTGTGAAGCGATAGCTTGAATTTCATTATCAATATCTCTAATATTTTCAACAGTTTAGGTTTTAATAATAATTTATATACAATTCTTTACAGTTTTTTAGATATTTAATAGAAATTAAGATATAATAGCGATAATCATTTTAGAAATCACACTTGCATGCCAAATATCTTGCAATAAAAGTGTAGAAGCGGTCGCAAGGATCTTCCCCATACGCTGCTTCGCGAGGTTCATTCTTAGAATCATCCTAGCGCGATTATTAATTCTTTTTAATTCTTTTTAATTTGTATTTTCACAGAAAATATGATATGATTGAAGAAAAAACTAAGATACGTGATAATTTTCCAGAATCAGATAGAATTCAGCATAGATATAGTTCAAATCAGAGTTAGATAGAATTCAGTTGCCAATCAGCTAATTCTAAATAGTTAAAATCAATTATTATCAGTTCATTCAAAATTCACAATACAATTATACAGTTCTACAACTATAGATATAGCATAAATGTAGCAGTTTAGATATCTCATTATCTCAAATAATATTCAAAATCTTATTAAGTTAGACTTTAACATCATTCAAAAATAAAAGATATGATAAAATACATACAAAACAAATCAGAAAAAATATATAAATAATTATAAAAATATTTAATAGTAATAAATATTATTATTAAATGCTGTATTAAAAATACAAAAAAAATTGAAAATTGTAATCTTAATTTTTTGATTAGAGATTGTAAAATTCGAATATATATTTATTTATAAATAGTTTGACATTTAAAAGAATCGAATTTGATGAATTTAAATTTGAAAAATCATAATAAAATTTGAAAGATTATAGTTTCATTTAAAATTTGATCAGATTATTTCTTAAAAATATAATAAAATTATTAATTAAAAGTATATATGAAATGTATTAATGTATTATATGTATTATGTATTATATATAAAAGAATTATTAAAAATAATAATATAATTACAATATAGGCTAGTTTATAGAGATTATGTTATATTTTAATTGATTATTAATTTTTCGAATTAAATAAAATCACTTTTATAAAATATTAAACAGAAATATTGGGCATTTTCACGTGACGGTAGCGTTAGGTACTGGCAATTTGAAAACAGTCAGTATAACATGAATCAAACTGATAACTCGCCAATACTATATATCTAATATTATATTTAATATTGCAACGCAACAGATTTACGCATTTAATGATTAGTCAATATTTTTTATTCATAATTTATTCATAATTTATTCATAATTCATTAAAATCGTTTGTTGAAACAAAGGAAAAAATTTTTCACAAATTATTAGAACCTTATATTATATAATTGATTTCTAGTCTTATATATATATTATATATTATCTTATATGTAATTTTTTTGACAATTTATAAAATTCGAAAATCTAAAAAATGTATTTTATTTTCAAAAATTTAATATATTTTTTTACGGAATTTAAAATCATGTTAAATTTCACTAGTTTCATTTCAATGGTTAACAGGAATCGTTTATAATAAGTATCATTTTTTGATTATATATTATAATTTTATAAATTCTAAGTAACATAATAAGTAAATTTTAAGTAATATGATAAGATCTTTAAAAAAACTTTTTTAAAAAATTGCAAATTAAAAATTTATTTATAATTTTTAAATAATAAAAAATTCTTATATTTAAAAAATAATTATTTAGAGAAATTAATAATATGAATAAATAAATTTTTATTTATTATTATATAATATTTTATATTTTACATTCTGATGTAATTAATGTTTTTATCAATTTTCTTTTATGTTACATATACAATTTTCTTTTATGTTACATTGTTTTGTATATTATAAATATTGATCTTTCGCTAATAATAGTATATGATTTGATTTTTTTTTATTTATTTCGAAATCATGAACATTTTAAATAAATGATTTCCTACTTTTCATATTCTGCATCTTCTATTTTATTTGCTTCTTTTATAATGTTTTCATTATGATAAATAAGTATTTATATACATATATATATATAATTGTAAAATACTATGACATAATTTATCTTTTTTATTCTATTTTATTATATTTTATTATATTTAACATGTCTATATTTATTCTTATATTTTTTTTATACGAAGAAATTAAGAAAAAAAATAATATTATGATAATGATTTAGCGTATGTATATATTTATAGTGAATGTAATTTTTATTAATTATTAATAACTGATTTAATAAATGATATCATAATATTAATTATATGATATGGAATTCTGTAAATGAAAAATAATTTAAATTTGTGCGTTAGTATTTTTATTTTCTAAATAGATTGAATAAAAATTCAATATAACATAAATTTATAAAAATTCCTAACAGTTCCTATAATTCCTATAGAACTTTCCTATAGAACTTTGCATATAAATAATTTTTAAATCACTGAATTTTTAAAATTAAAACATTTTAATTTTATCAAAATCTGTTAAAAACATATAAAAAATATTAAACAATTATAATATTCTTTTTTAAATTTCAGTTATTTTTTAAATTTATTTATCTAAACATAATATTTTTTATATTTTAATTTTTTTTGTCATACTAATCACATTCAACGATGAACAAATTTCATATATGTACAAATGATTTCTTATTTCGTTCTCAATTTATATATTGCTGTTACTAAATATACTAAAGCCAAGTTCACGTGATACATACCAAGCATACATGCTATATTTTTGTACATACAATATATATAGTTAGATGCATCATATGAATGGAATAACGATGGTAGTGCCATCTGTAGATATTTCTTTTTTTAATATGAAAATAAAATACCGCCAATTCAATGTTGATCGCATGTATGTTAAATTTTTCATTGATGTTTAGAATTAGAAATTTTTATTTTATTATAGACAAACACATATAAAAGAAAATTTTGAAAAAGTATCGAATTGATTTTAGTTTTTCAATGTTTTGACCTGCATGACAATGGCGGATTTTATGTTTATCACATATTTTATATTATCATTGACACTAAAATTATGTCCAGGTGTGCAAATATATATTTTTCAATTAAATAAATATTTTATTTGTATAATAACTAATAATAAATAATTATTTGGAAAATATTTGGATATAACAATTTAAAAATAAAATTTTAATTTTACTTTTATTTAATATTTTGTAGTATCTAACATCTATTTATTGTTATTCTTTAAATTGAATTTTTTTTATTTTTTTTTTATTAATTTGAAATTTAATATATCTTATATCTAAATAATATAAATATACATTTGCTTCATCAAAAAAACAATGCTTCATAATGTCTTGAAATATATTTCAATGGTTAACAGGAATCGTTTTTAGGAGAAGAAGAGAAGTTTACTTTATTAGAACATGATTTTTCTGTTGAAAGTGAAGAACCACAAAAATCTATAGATATTATGGTTTTTAATAGCAGTTCAATGGGACAACAGCGTTTTAAATGTCATACTTGCGAGGGGCCAGATTGTTTACATTCTGATATCTGTTATAATGCAGTTACTGTAATGTTTTTTATATTATTATAGATAAAATGATTGAATTAAAGAATATTAGAGAAAATAATATATTTTTTAATGTTTAATAGTGCTGGAAATCTAGAGTAAGACAATCAGATGGTATAGAAAGTGTAAGTAGAGGATGTACGTCATCAATAGATCAAATGTTATTGATATGTAATAAACAATTACCACCACGTATAATTCAAAATGATAATAAAAAAAGACATGTTAGTGGATCTTTAAAAGGTGTACAATATTATGTTGAATGTTGTCAAACAGATTTCTGCAATGATGGACCATTTCCAATATTACATGGTTTTAATGGAGGTAAATATGTAATGTTACATCATATTTAAATTTTATTTATATATTTATTTAATCTATAATCTATAATCTATTTTCTAATATTTTAATATTTTTTTTAGATATTGTTGAAGAAAATTATGCAATTAAATTAACATTGGCAATTTTGGGTCCTATGATTGGATTCTGTATAATTGCTGGAATAATATTATTTTATTTATTGGTATGTAGGACTCGTAGAAAAAGGACTTTGACTGCAAGGCGTAATAAACTTGTTATAGATTCTGAAATGGAATCGTCTATTCTACATTTTTCATTTTCTTCTCCAACATCCACTAATATGTATCATTCTCATGAACTAAAAGCAACTGCAGCTGGTGATAGCACATTAAAGGTATGTCATGTAATGTTATTTGTAGTAGTTATTTGAACTTAAAAATAAATTAGTAAAAAAGAGATATTTCAAAATGAATTATACATAGACTAATTCTATATGTAAAATTCTATATATAAAAATAATTGAAGAAAAAACTAAAATTCTTAAATAAAATCATTTATTATTTATATTTGATATCTTGAGATAATGTATAATTTTATCATGGATAATGAAAATGTTAAAATATATAGAAATTAAATGATATATAACTAAAATATATATATAATAAGTAATCATTTAAGATAAATTAGTAAAAAATATTAAGTATAAAGAGTTAATATATTTATTAACTTTTGATTCTAAAGATAAAAAAAAAATATGTTAATATATAAAAATATTAAATGACTCTATCTTTTGCTCTTCGCTTCATTCCATAAAAACTTCTAATGCCTATAATGATTAAAATTTCAATTGTTTATAATTTAATAAATAAGTTTTAAGCAATATTTTTATATTTATTTTGACTTCTAGAATTAATTATAAAAAAGTATCTCACAAATATATTAACATTATATTTCTGATAAATTTTTTTTAGATATTGTTAAAAAAAATTATACATAATTTTTTCATTTTAATATTTTTTAAAACAAATTATTAAGTTAATATAATTTTGAATTCTATGGTTGGATTCTATTGCTGGAATATAGGATGATATAATATCTTGCAATTTATTTTTTGTTAATAAAAAATAGATCAATTATATAAATATTAAATATATAATAAATTTTATTTATTAAAAGATATAGAAAATATATATTTATTTAGATATTCATTTAATATATTTTTGTTAATATTTTTTATTAATCGATATATTTAGATTTTAAATTATTTTTATATTTTATGAAAGATATAATAGCTTATTTCTTTTATATGAATACTTAAATATCAAGAAATTTTTTTAATATTCAAATATTTAAATGCAATGAAATATTAAATAGTAAGTACATAATTCAATTTAAATTTAATAGTTTATATAGTACACTAAATACTGTACATATTTAAAATGAAACATATTAATAAATAAT